GGGTCCCTTCTGCACCTCTGCCAGGGAGCACAAGGGCTTTCCAGAGAGTTCCAGACCCGCGGAAATAAGTGTTCCACAAATATTTGTTGAAGGCTTTAAAAGACTGCTCTTTTCAACTCTCAAATCACTTCTCTGGTTTCTGTGTCACCCCCTTTTCCACTGGCATCACCAGATCTGAGGTCATGGCACAGATGATGAGGGCTGATCTCAAGGCAATGCCCTCTATTTTGTGGGGAAGCCATCAAGGCCCAGCGGGCACGGACAAGCAGCCCCAGGTGGTCCCATTCATGCTGGTCCTGTGATCTCAGAGACCAGATTGTGTGCAGCCCAGACTCTGGACTCCCACTCCAGTGCTCATCCCTGTGCCTACCGGATGCCTCCCAGGAGAATCTAAACTCTGTGGCCCCAACTTCCAAAACCAGGAGTCCCCCACCCCTAGATCCCTGCACCCAAGTAGCATCTCAACTGTTCACACTCCCCCCGCAACAGTCTCCAGCAATGCCTTGCTCACAATAACCCCACTGTACGAGGCTAGACGCTTCCTGTTGGAATGTCGCCTGACACAATACAAAGAGTCCATGTCACGGTCAGGAAAGAGGGGCTTTTGACTGGCAGAGTTCACACTGCCTTGATAGATCAGAGAGAAATTCCTGGTAACAGAACTGCATCAGGGCCCAGGAGGCTAAGGAGGACCTGGTAGGAGGAAACAGGACAGAACGATTCTGATAGTTAGGAGGGCAAAGATACATTCGAGGGACATGAGGGAGCAGCTCTGATGAAGTGAAAGTGTATGAAAGTGGGTGAGTAACGATGAGGCTACAGGGATGTCGGAAAGAGACGTGGAGTTGGCCTTGAATGCGAGTCAGTAGGATTGGGGTGACTTCTGAAGGAACTGGGAAGTCACTGAAGGTTCTTGAAGGGGGGTCCCCAACATACCTAGCAAGGAGGCAGAATTATAGGGCAGGGGATGGGAAATAGAGAAGAGGTAAGAGTAAGAAGGACTCCTAAGAAGAGTTTACCAGATTATTTATCTAGCACTTATATTATCAGATTAACTAGCTGTTTCCCAGAGGCCCAGACATAAGTAAGTGTTAGTAGAGGAGAACAGGCAGGCAGCCACAAGAACCTACAAGGGACAGAATGTAGAGAGGGAGCTCTTTATTTGGGCTTTTATTTTGAGTAACTAGATTTGGGGGAGAGGGAGTTGGGTGGGGTTGGGGACCATTTCCTCTGGGGTGACAGTGGGCGTTGCAGTGTTTTCCCAGGTATTCTCTGCAGACAGCCCAGACACCTTGGCCTGAGGTACCTGACCTGCCCAGTTTTTTTGTGTTGGTTTTTCTTTTTGTTTTTGAGACAAAAATCTCCCTATTTGTTCGGGCTGGCCTTGAACTCACCGTGTAGCCCCAGGCTGGGCCTCACATTTGCAGCGATCCTCCTGCCGCTGCCTCCGGAGTATAGGCGTGTGCCACCACGCCCAGAAACCTCCTCACTTTAGAGGATTGTCCTACACTTAATTGAGAAGCTAGATCTGAAAGTGCGTTGTAAACTTTAAAATACAGGGACTGTATTGTCTTCCTTTGAGTAGACTCTGCTCTGTAAAGAACTCTGTAAAGGGCTGGGGATTTAGCTCAGCGGGAAAGCGCCTGCCTTGAAAGTGTAAGGTCCTGAGTTCCATTCCTGGTGCCAAAAAACAAACAAAAAGAACCCTGTAAAGGCTCTACCTCTGGGAGGGTCTTAAAGATTTTAGCCATGCCAGGAGTGTGGCGCACACCTACAGTCCCAGCTACTTCGGGGACAGAGGCAGGGGGATTGCAAGTTTAAGGCCAGCCTGGGCAATTTAGGGAGATCTGATTTCAAAGTAAAAAAATTAAAGGGGTCGGGGATGTGGCTCAGTGTGAAGGCCCAGGTTCAATCACCAGTACTGTGTAAAAAAAAGAAAAAGCTCTTCACAGTGTTTCTAGTAAGGAAGGCAGGCTCTACTGTGCCCCAAGCCAGAAGCGGGTGAGCTTTAACTGGGGCAGGACTGAGAAAACCCTTTGTGGAGGTGGGGGTTGGGGCCTCCCAGCAGCAGGGCTGGACCCTCTGCCCTCACTCTGCACCCTGCAGCAGATCTCTCCCGTGGGGGCCACCAGGAGAAGGGTGAGACCTTTCAGGCATCCTTAACGGCTTGCTACTTCCTGCCTCTGCTTTCTTTTGCTTCCGGATGAGGAGAGATAGCAAGCATTTTGAGGTAGTTAGGGCACAGATTTGGGAGATGTGATGCCTGTAAATTCCTCTGGTCCAGCTCTCCCTTAATTCCAGGAAGGGGAGGGTATGCCTGAGCTGTGTGCCAGGCACTGGGCACTCCACATGTCATGCCGCGAATGACTTTGGGCCTCAGTTTCCCCTGCTAAAAGAGACAAGCAGCTGTGTGAGCCCTGAATGATCTTTGCTTATTTCTCCCTTCCAAGGCATCACCTGTACCCGCCTCCATATTGGAGCATTTCCTTTTTTTTTTTTTTTTTTTTTTTTGGTACTGGGGATCGAACTCAAGTCCTTGCGGTTGCAAGGCAGCTGTCAGAACCACTGAGCTAAATCCCCAGCCCATGGAGCATTTATTATATTCATGCATTCAATAATTCAGTGTATGCTTACTAACAATCCCTGTGTGCAGGCTGCTGCTCTGGGGATGTGGGACTTGTATGGTCTTGGATGAGTGAGACAGGGCCCTGAATCCAAGGACCTCATGACATAGTAAGTCAGATGCTACTAAGCAAGGCCACGTAAAGCCCAGAGTACCCTCTCCACCTCTATAGCTGTAACCTCCATTCCCACCAATCAGCAAAACTCAGCTCATGTCATTAAGTCAGCATGGATTGAATGAGTCTCTCTTCCGTGTCCCCACCTACCCCATCTTTTAAGGCCCAGGTCGAACGCTACTGCTACTCCCTTCATGAAGCCTTCTATGATTCTTCCAATCCAAAACAAATTCTGTCCTTTCTAAACCCCCAGATAACTGCTGCCTCTCCACAGGACATTTCTCTCTTCTTCGTCTCTCTTTTATTAATCTAAATCCCCAGCCCCTCAATTCCCTTTTGGGCTGTGGCATGCCACAGGAGGAAAGAGTGGCCTGAGCCACATGACCAGGTGGTAGGTACCATGTGGAGGTAGGATTAAGGTGGCAGGGGACGCAGACAGTGGGCGAAGGCCACAGAGCTCGAACTGAAAGGAGAAACTGCTTTCATGGGTAGGAGCAGTGATTGGAGTGTGGCTGGACAGTCAGATGGTGTAGGCCAGACAGGAATCTGTGGGCTGCTTCTGCCAGACCAGAAGATCCATCCCACAAGGCAGACTTGCCACCTGGCTGGCCAGGCAGGCAACAAACGGAGGCTTCACAGGGCCCGCTAGGAAGTGCGCACAAGAAGCCAGCCCTGTGCTAGGTGCTATGTGATGTGAATTTTCTCCATTAGTTTCCCCTAGCCTCCTTTTTATTTTGTTTTTGTTGTTGTTGTTTTGGTTTTTTGAGATAGGGTCTCACTATGTAGTTGAGAGTGACCTGGAACTCACTATGCAGCCCAGGCTGGTGTCGAACTCACAGCGATCCTCCTGCCTCAGCCTCCCTAGTGCTGGAATTACAGGCGGCACCACCACACCTGGCTCCCCCTAGCCTCCTGACGACTTGAGGTCTGGATTATCTCCCCTAGTTGGTGAACAGTCACTTGCTGATGAAATCTCTAGCAAGAGTGGAGGATTTGTTTATTTATTTATTTTTGGTACTGGGAATCGAACGCAGGACCTAGAGCTTGCAAAGTAGGCCGCAGAATCACTGAGCTAAATCCCCAGCCCAAGAACGGAGGATCTGGCATTCAAACCCAAGCCATCTGATTACCAGTGAAGTCCTCCTCCTCGCCAGCTGAGGTGTGAGGCTCTGGAGTGGCTTCCCAAAAGCAGGAAAGTCAAAAGCAGAGGACAGGGCTCCGGGTGGAGACCCAGGTCTGTGCCTCTTTTCTGCTCGCTGCGTTCTTCCCCCTACCTACCCCCGCTCCCCCCAGGCGGACAGGAAAAGCTCCAAGCAGGACCGGCAGCAGCAATCATAAAAAGATTGCAGGACAGGGCAGGGGATTTAGCTCAGTGGCACTGCGCCTGCCTGTCAAGTGCAAGGTCCTGAGTTCATCCCCGGTCCAAAAAAAAAAGATTGCAGGGACAGATGGAGGGCAAGTGCCCCAGGGAAGGGCCAATAGCGCAGTTCCCAGAGGCAGCGAGATGCTAGGGTTAGGGGCGTCAGGTGCGGTTCTCTGGGGCTGACGGCTGACGCGGGGAGAGGAGGCGAGGAGCGGGGACGATCTGCGCGACCGGGTCTGCTCTTGCATGAGGTCATTAGTACGTAGCGCCGCTCAGTCTCCTCGCAGTTCCGCGGTTCCGACAGGGAAGTGGGCCCAGGGAACTCAGGAGACTCGCCTTAGGTCCCACCTGGCAGCCAGCCCCGGGCTTCCGACCCTTGCTGAGGCCTGGGGCCGGGGTCCGGGTGGGCGCTCGGCCGC